AAAAAAACATAAATAAAGTTTTGAGCTTTGTTTGAGACCGTTTTTAACTTTTATCCACTATTTTCGGTCTTTAAAAAAATTAGACTAAAAATTACTTTAGAAAATAATAAAAAAGCTGTCCCAAACTAAACCTTGATCTATCAGTCATAAAAAATGATTAAAAATCACCAAATCAAAACAATTAAAACTTGAAAAAAGGGAACATAATTTCAAACATAGAGTAGCATTTGCAAAGCAAGTTTTATTATTTATCACATTTTTGAAAAGAAGAGCAAACGCAAAAGCATTATCAAACAAACCATAAGTTTTCTCTTGCCCTTAATAGGCTGTATTCAGTGGAGAAACCATAAGAGGATGAATCAACAGCATAATATAATCCATTGCTGCACTTACTGTTACCTAAAGAATCTCCTAATGAAGCAAAAAATGACAAATGAGGAGGATGATGAATAAAGCTTATATTCAAATGATAGTGACTGATCAGATGATAAAAATTATCATTATGTATGTAATGAAATTTATTTTTATATTGATGTCTCTTTATATAATATACGTGAAAAGGTTGGAGTAGCTTCAGTGGAAGATAGATAAGATTAGAGAGAGTCGTCTTAGATGATTTGATCACATAAAACGGCAGCCTTCCGATGATCGGTTAGAAAAGTAGATGTATTAGATTTAACTTATGTTAAGAAAGGTTGAGGTAGACCTAAAAAGACTGGTTAGTAAATAAAGATGTGATTCGCGTAGCCGACCCCACATAGTGCGATTATAGGGCACAATGGGATAAAGCTTTTTAGTATAAAAATTAAAATTTTTATACTAAAAAGCCGCTTTAAGAAGCAGTAAGAAAGTCATCTCAAATGAAGCCTTAATCAATCAAATGAAAGCAATAAATTACCAATTTTGTTGTGTTGATGACCTATTATTGTCTTAGCTTGTCCATATTGCTCAAAATCACCCCAAAAGAACAAATGCAAGCATAAGCCTGCCATGTAATGATGCATATCTGAGAACTTATATTGCTTCTTGAATTAGTTAAGTAAATACTAAGGTTTTGTTTGGGACATTTTTTTTACTATTTTATAAAGTACCTTTCTAGTATAAAATTTTTTGAATTTGAAAAATTTTGTACTAGAAAGCTGCTTTAAAAACTAGTAAGAAAGATGTCCTAAACAAAGCCTACATCTAATTTATAAGGCGCGATAATAAGTTAAAAAAGGGTTAAGTGGGGAAAGAATAGAACAAATAAACATCCATTTTAAGTCTGTCAAAATGTGACATAGGACCACTAGAGATATTATCAAGTTCTCCAAAACTTTAGATTGATGGAGAAGCCACGACCAAAGATTTATATTCCATGGTTTAGCCCGGTCAAATTTATGTGCGCAATGACTAGTGGATGCATACATCCCATGAGAATCATGAACCATGACTAAATGCACATTGATGACTAAATTGTCCATAGTGGACCCCAATAGAAATAGTAGATGTGAAGAATTGTTTAATATAGTCAACATGCATGGGAGTTGATTTGTACTATTTACAAGAAATTAAAAGCATGAACTAATTGTTAGAGGTACAATAAAGCTTGTGGCCAAAACTATAGTCTTCATAAAATTATATTTGTGATAAATTGACACCACTCATAGCTCAATCTTCAATTATGGTTGGAAGAAGATTCATGTCAAAACCATCCACCATATATTATGAGATATATGATATTTAACATCATATACTCTTGAAAACTACTCATCATTCATCCTCTTTAACCCTTGATTACTCCACTAGGGATATGAACGCGTGACCTATTAAGCACAACGAAGATTTTATAACTGATTATCAAGCTCCCTCAGACAAACAAATGTCCAAAACCAATACTAATTATGACTCAATCATTAACTATAGTCACATGTGGGTTCAATAAGTATCCAATAAGAACTACACGAGGCATGCTAGCTAGCATCCATCCCTTTGAATATTTCTCTATCAAAATCTTCATCATAAGATATTAGTTGCAAACTAAAACTTCGTTTGAGACAACATTTTTACTGCTTCTTAAAGCAATTTTCTAGTACGAACATTTTATTTTTTTAATAGCAAGCTAGTTTAAGAAGCAGTAAGAAAGCCGTCTTAAACGAAGTCTAAATCGATAAGGATGGAGGAGGGTACTTAAATGTAGAAAAAATGATGTGGGCATAAATAGAGAGAGCATTTTCATTCATTAACCAATGCACTTTCACTCATGGATTGGGATCCAAAAAATAAATCCTATAATTCTCACTGCAAGAATGCGAGGCAAAATGATTTGACATAGAAAATTTGAAGGAAGCATTTCTATATGTAAACCAATGCAAAAATGAATAGGGTAATAATACAATAAACATTCTATTCATATTGAATTGGGTATGTGGATATCTTCATCTTTTATCAAACATTAGCAGTAAACAATTCTTCAATCTCAAAGCACTAGGAAGCGTAATTAATTTTCTACAACATAAGAAGCATTTGAAAAGGGAAAAATTAAAATTAAGCGCACAAGAAATTCATTAACTGCTAGTTAGAGTTCACGTGAAAGAGTGCCATGTTTCATGAGCTTGTAAGATTGTTACGAGCTAAGGTAATAAAAAATTATGACAATCTTACTCTCTTTTGCCTCTTTGCCAAGTATGAGCCATGGACTTTCAAGAAGCAATACAACGCCAAAAGTGTAAATATGTTTTGGAGGAAGAAATCAAGGCAATTGAGAAGAATTAAAGACACATGGGAGCTAACTTCACTTTTTAAAAACACAAGGCAGTTAGCATGAAGTGGGTGTATAAAATAAAAGAGAATGTTAATGGGGAAGCAAAAAAAATATAAGTCAAGATTAATGGGAAAGAGCAATAATTTAAAAAATGTCATTTCTTATGATGAGGTATTTGCTCATATTGCTCAGTTAGAATTTATTAGATTAATCATTTTTGTGGCATGTCAAATAAGGTGAAGAATATATTAAAGGGGCATAAAATTTACCTTTCTGAATGAAATCTTCGAAGAAGAAATCGACATGCATCAACCAACATATTATGAAGTCAAGAGGGAAGAAGATATGGTTCTAAAATGAAAGAAAGCCCTCTATGGATTAAAAGTGTTTGGAATAGCCGAACAAATAAGTACTTACAAAAGAAAAACATTAATAAATGCTACTATAAGCATGTTCTATTTATCAAAAAAAAAAAAAATGGGTGGAGATGTTTTGATTATTTATTTGAACATTGATGACTTGATCTTCCCCAAAAGCAATCCAAACATATTTGGAGGGGTCAAACAAAAAATGATTACGAAGTTTGAGATGACTAATATTAGGCTTATGGGTTAATACCCACCCAACTGCTGCTTAAAGCAACTTTCTAGTACAAAAATTTTATTTTTTGTAATAGAAATCTGGTTTAATAAGCAGTAAGAAATCCGTCTTAAACGAAGCCTAAATTAATCGATAAGGATAGAGGAGGGTACTTAAATGTAGAAAAAAATGATGCGGGCATAAATAGAGAGAGCATTTTCATTCATTAACCAATGCACTTTCACTCATGGATTGGGATCCAAAAAATAAATCCTATAATTCTCACTGCAAGAATGCGAGGCAAAATGATTTGACATAGAAAATTACCTAAACAATCCTATAATAAAATTTTTTGAGGGGGGCGGCAATATCCTAAAAACCCTTGTAATAACGACTAAAAAATAGACAGCGGGGCATAAATTACCTAAACAATCCTATAATAAAATTTTTTGAGGGGGGCCTTGCATGAATGATAAAGAAGTATTACTAGGTTTTTGTTTTTCATAAGAGACCTTGCTTTCACTTGGATGTCAAAGAAACAAATGATTATTACCCTTTATACTTCCAAAGTTGAATATGTGGTGGCTACAACCTGAGGTGCTTTCCATGGAATTTGGTTTTAAAACTCATTAAAGGAGTTAAGTTTACCAAAAGAAGGTACCAATATTCATATTAATAGAAAATTCTACATACAATTATTCAAAAATTTAAATTTTTATGATAGAAGTAAGCACATTGATACATGTTATCACTACATCAGAGAATATGTAACGAAAAAAAGAAGCGTAAGTGGAGTATACGAAATCTCAGAACCCAGCTATACATATTTCACAAAGCCACACAAGTACGAAGATTTTATTAAAAGACGAGAAATATGCTTAAAATTACAAAATCAAATTTAGGATGAAGTGTGAGAAGTCAAACTTGATTTTAACCATTGTAATTTGAGCTTTAGTTATCTAGATATTGCCCATATTTTAAAATAATCTTTTGAGGATGTTAAAAATTTATTTTAAGATAATCATTAGAAAAATTTAAAATACGATTTAATAATTTTTAATTTTGGAAGAATTTTTGAAGGAGTTAATTGTAGTAATTAGATTGAAATATATATCTTGACATAACTCTAATATAGTTTATCACTTGAATAAATAGTAATTATATCTTTAAATTTTTATGAAAAAAAGAGAAAAAAAACCATTTCATCAAAATATAATTTATCTTATATCTTGAACTTTATCTAAATCTAAAAAATTTCCAATTCTATCAGATTATTTGGGATAATTTTTTTACTATTTTATAAGATAACTTCTTAGCACAAAATTTCTTGGCACTAAAAAAATTATTTTAGAAAAGCAATAAGAAAGCTACCCAAAATAAATCCTAAATATTTGATCTAAATAACTATAGCTTTTAGAAGAAGTATATAATAATTAAATTAATTAATCCAACAAAATATTCTTATTTGAAAATAATACATATATAATAAAATAATTATATTAACATAAATCGCTAAAAAAATATAAATAAAATAAAATTATTCCATTGCCGGGATTTGAACCCGGGTCGTCTGGGTGAAAGCCAGATATCCTAGCCGGACTAGACGACAATGGATTTATGTCATTGCGAACAATAAATTTTATTTGTACAATAGCTTTAGAGCACAAGAACTATCTGGACTCTGCTTTCTTGGATCCCAAGCCAGTGAGTCTTTCTATAGGTTTCGGCAACTCAGCGAAGGTGCAGAGCTTCTCGTGCTTCTGTTCTTGGGGCCATATGCGCTAACCTTGAATGCATTCTGAGTTCATTCATAACGCCGCGTTAGGTACCTCCGCCATGTTTTTTCTGCAGCTTGTTGTGATTTCTTCTGAAAAGTTCACTTTTTTTTTCTTAATCTAGTTTACGGAGTATTTCTGGTTCGGATTTGAATTGATGTGATTTCTTCTGAAAGTTTTCCTGCCCTATTTCTTATGCTTAGGGAAAAAAGAAGACCTCTTTTTCCCCTGTAAATTAAAATCTGTGGAGAAAAAAAGGAAGTAGATGAATGACCTCCAACTTATTAAAATTTTGCGCAAGTTTCTGCCGGCGAGTAAACTTGAGGATATAAATAAACCATCAAAATGTTATTGAAGAAAGCAAGGAACGATTTTGGTTTTAGTGTATAGAATTAGGGACCAGACATCAATATATTTATTAGACACCAAATCCTATCGGTTTTATGTACATCTGTAAAACTTCTTACACGATTTACTCCCTTAAAGCAAGTGAATGGAACACATTGTAAGTTGTATCTACAACAAATTTGTTGATCTTCAGTGCCCTTTGATGCTGGTGAGTGATATGAACTCGTTTTGTAAAATTCAGTACATGTTGAACAATGATGAAGTTAGCAAAGTCTCTAATATAGTAATTTTACCGTTGCGCTTATCTATATTTCATTAGTTCTCTAATATAGATATATCCATTGCATGATTTTCTGTCATCTGTGGATCATTTTCATATTCATAACCAACTATATTACATTTCGATTGCTCCATCTTTTTAAGCTAGATCCATGTTCCTTGTAGCAATTTAATCTTTATTTGTTTACACCAAACAGCTAATTCAATTATTACTTTGTTAAAACCATATCTTCTGCATATAACAAGTAACGTGGCAATTTATCTTCAAAGTTTAATGGATAAAAATTGCTAGCGTACATATTATAGCTTACTAGCCAACTCATCCTAGAAGCTATTTAGGTTTGCTCCCGAGTCTTCGCTGTTTGAAGCCTTTGTATTCATTTTATGTTATAGCCCAAGGGGTAAATTGGTTAGAAGACATTAATGCATTCATTGCTAATTGTTTGTTGTAGCAATATAATGAGAGTGGAAAGCCTACTTAAACCTTCTTCAAACCCTAAAGCCAACATTTTTAGTAGAAATTGAACTTCATGTGAATCATGATTAGAAGTATGAGCCATTTGGAATTACCTATCAGAATTGATGAAGGACAAGCATTAAAGGCTAACCTTGGGGATCCTTGGCATTGTTTTCAAATAGCATGAGCTCTTGTCCATTACATGGTTTAAAATTGTGCAATCTGAGGCACGCCTCAACGCAATTTCGCCTGTTTATGTGTCAAGGCATACGCTTTGATAATGAACGGAAGTAATAGAGTGGTCTATTTGAGGTGTTATTAGAGTTTAGATGTTATAAAAGTGGTATATTTGAGGTGTTATCAAATTTCTTATTTGTTATGCAACTAAATTATAAATTTTTTGAATTTGTAAATATGAGGTATTTGAGTGTTGTTATATGGTAAATCTCTCTTTAAAAAAATCCTAACTACATAGTTATTTGAAGATATCCATTAATTATTCTTATTCTATTTTAATGCTTACTACTAGAATTACTTTTGTGCATTGTGAGTTTGTAGAGAACACACTCATTCACATAACCATACCAGTGTATGTGTTCTAACAAAGTAGCTTTTCTTTCTATTTTTGGAAACTTTCAATTTATCTTTGCTTGTATGCAAATATCGCATTTCTAAACATCATTATATATTGCGCAATATCTAACCATTATTAGCCATATATTTTTAATATTTATAATTCACGTGAACAAGAGGTTATGCCATAAAGATAGAGAGCAATCAACAATATAAGAATAAATATTCAATATTGATACTAAGCCTAAGAGCTATCAACTATATAAGAAGAAATAATCTTTAATGATATTAAGCTTAAACATTTCATTATCTCAAACAAATCACTCTTAGATAGTATCTTATTTCAATCTTTATCCTTATCTTACAGAGGAAACTAGTATTTACATGATTCTTACTAAATCAGGTACATAGAAGGCATTATTAAGTAAACGATTTTTTTTTCCCCAGAACTGAATTAAAGTTCAACGCTTCCTTTTCCTAGAACAAACTTCTGTATAATCATGCTTTCCTATAACATAAAGGTTTTTTCATATTTTGAACCTTCAAAATGCTTGAATTGCGACTTATCATTGCAACCATGAACAATATCACCTAAATCATGCCACTAGTTTGAATATGTTATTGTTTCCATATTTAGGAACTATGCTTATAAGCATTTCTGAGGATCTGCCCTCTACAGAGAAGTTCATTTTTTCATGTTTCTTTCAAGTTGCCTTTCGTTCTTTAGAATCTGATGCCATCGATAGTGGAAAGTCTGGTAGATCAGCATTGAGAATGTAAGAAATCATCAATGTAATCAGTAGGAAAATCATCTTTTCTTTTTATGGGGAAAAGTTTTGTGCCATCAAATCTAATCTACTCGATAAAATGTTGAAAAAAAGCTGTGAACTTGCTTCCAGTAAAATAGCACCTTAAAATTTTTAGAAAATAGTAGTATGTTGATGAATAATTTTGTGGCTTTGAGGGAGTGCAAATACAGTTTCCGTTAGTTGATATTTTCTTCCACTCTATAAGAGTTTATTGAAAGGCAACTGACAAATTATCTCTGGGATGCACTGAAATAACAACCCTTATAGATAACAATTTAAGAAGTTTGCCTTCATAATTTTTAATTTTATTGGAGAGAATACAGGATGTTTTGGGAAATTATAGTATTAAAATTCAGACTAATCACCAATTTATATATAGGACAACTCTTGCTAATGCCCTTCGTCTTACAAAGGATAACTTTTGCTCCATCTCCTTTGAATTTCAACCATCCCGCAACATACATCTACTCCACTCTCATCACCTCTCAATGAACAATTGTACCCCTCTTCCACAAACTCCTTTTATCAACATACAGCCACCTCCTCTCTATGCCTTAACTCACCTAATTCCTCATCCAACATCTGAGTAGGACGCCCAATAGTAACATGATTTAAATTTACGAACCTTAAGACAAAACACCTACTTAATCTCACCAACACCATCGCTATCAATGACCCAATCAACTATTCTGTAGTTGCTCTTGAACCGCATTGGCGCAAGGCTATATCTCTACTGTTTTAAGCTCTACAGTGGTAAGGTACACGGATCTTAGTTTCCCAATCGCCAACACATAATCTATTGGGATGTAAATAGACCTATTAAACCACAAATAATTTGGACAACATCGACATAAGGCCAAACTGGTCGCGCAACGTTTTAAGCTAGTACATTGAATTGATTGTAACTTTCAGTGTGATTACGAAAATGCCTACCATTCGTATCTTCTCACAATATCTCATACTTATTACTCAAGTTGACGTGTTCATGCAATTTTTTCGATCACCGTGTTAGAGAAGTCTACAAGTCCCAAACTCAAAGGCTTTCAAAATCCACGACATTCAAAGTATATACGTCTTCTCAAGACAGCTAAATTAGTTTTAAGCAGGTTCCTCGACAATGATTTTCAACTCTCAACATCAAACTACAACAACTTGGCTTTACCTTTAGCACAATTGACTCTTCCCTAATGATCTACAAAGCCAACTCCATTCTTTTCTATATCTTAATTTAATTCGATGACATTATTTTAACATGTAACAATTTCAATGGCATTTCATTTCTTCTAAGCATCTAGCTACCACCTTTCACCTCGTGGCCTCCCCAACAACAAATGACCTGCACATGCACGAAACGCTATTTGTGTTTGAGCTCCTACAGTGCATTGGTGTGAGTAATTGCCAAACCTCTCAAAATCCTATCTCAGCCAAAACTCCTACTGAGACATCATAAATACTGCTTGGCAACCGCACATTGTATTGGCATCAAATTGGTTTAGTGCAATACCTAATCATAACTAGGCTTGATCTATCATTCACAATCAATTGATTCAATTGGATTTGCCAATCAATGTGTAAAGCTCTACATTTCTTTTATTATCTCCAAAGAACCACTCACTATGCCATTCCATTTTGCAACGATGAACCACATCTCTGTGCTTATGCCAATGTAGATTGGGCAGGCGATACTTAAAACTTTGTGTATGTTGATGGAGATGAAGAATTAAAACTTTATGTAGGTCAAAAATCAAAATGAAAGGACACTTTATATCATAGTATTTTTCCTTAATAAGGTGTGAATTTGAAAAACATAAGAAATTTATATTTGAATTTTAGCTTTCTAAATTGAGTACCTGTGCCCAGGCCAAGTCACCAAGTATGCTTAGTGTCAACTATCATGTATTTAGATCAAAGTATTTACCTTTCCGTGATTATGATAGAAGTGTGCTAAGTTCTAAAGGCCTTAGCTTATTTAGATATAAATAAGCTCTCCTTCATTATGCACAACAGGTGCTCATTCCAATTCCAAGACATTTAATTCTTCTTAGACCTTTCTTCCTTTCAAAATCCTTACATTTCAATCTATTAGTATCTACAATATAAACTATGATAGAACTAGTGATGGGTCTCACGTCAATTGATAATATTAGATGCGTAACCTCTACTTGTGAAATTCCTTTCTCCATGTTTTGTGAATCTACTAGTTTTACTTATGAAAGCTTATAAGTTATTAGTCAGTGTTTTTTGGTAAAATATAATTAGAACAATAGTTTGATAGGACTTGATGATCAAACCAGCAAACAACAATATAAAAAAAACAACAACTTCACATAGATCCAGAAATAACACAAAGAGAGCTGTTTTTACTTAATTCCAAGAAAACAAAGACAAGATACAAATTAATTCATAGTTCGAGAGGTGAATCGTCCCTCCCACAATTCCTAGCTGCTACTAGGAACTCAAATACCACAAAAAACTGTTGCAAAAATTCAAAACATAATATAAAAAAACCCCAACCCACCATAATCTCCCCCTTTAAGCAGCTCAAATCCCCTAAAAAATACCCCTTACATCCAATAAATGCCCCTTACATCTTTCCCAAAGAGTCCCCCCAAAGAGTTTCCTCCCAAAACCTCTTCTCCTATTGGTGATAAAAGAGGTCCTCGTCCCCACCTGGGCAGCTGGACTGTTGCTACCAGCTGCATCATTAGTTATGCTATTATATGTAGATTGCTTGAATTGAGTTGGGTTGGACTTTGGTTCAGTAGTGTGTTGCTTGCTTTATTTGTAACAATTCAACATTAATTGTGAATTAATTGTAAAGCATTCCTAACTTGTTTTTGGTTTTTATTGTTCTTTTTTATGCAGTTTGGTAGAGAAAAGTAATTGTGGTTGTTTGTTCTAAAAACCTGCTGTTTTCTTCCAATGGTAAATTGCTCTCTCAACTTCTTCTATTCATTTCTTGTTATTGGTATTTATTTCTTGTTCTGCTATCTAGTTTATTGTGATTATGGATATTTGAATGAACAATGTGATAGGAAATACTTGAATATTTCAAGTAAACCATAACAAGATTGACGAAAACAGAGGGAAAATTTCACAAATCTAATGTGAAACAAACAAAAACAGTAGATTTTATTGTAGAAAGAAAACAAACGGAAGAAATAAAGCAAGATACAATTGATCCTCAATTCGAGGGGAGGATCGTTCTCTCCCAATTCCTAGACGAATCTAGGGCCCAAGACACCAAGGACAAGAACTCCAAAATCAGCCACAAAACAAAGCATAACCAGCCTAACACAATGTCGCTAGATAATCAATTCTGCATGTTTTGAACTCGAGTTAAAAATGGCATGTGGACAATATTTTCGCCTTCTTGTTTTTTGAGTTTGCCGCAGTAATTGTTTTTGTAGAATGAGGGAGAATTAATAAAGTAGAATCAAGCATTAGGTATTATATCCAGGTAGGATAGGGATGCTCACAGGTGTACTTCCTACTATATCCCAAGCAGTTGCAGGATAGAAAATGGAGTTTGTTAAAATTAACATTCAGTCATATAAAAATGAGGCAGCAAACTCATACAATTGTGCGATATAAATCAAATCATGAAGAAGTTAACACGTTATTGAGTATGAAACTTTGATATTTTTGTTTTGCTCTACAAATTCCAACAAATTTTGTTACTGGATCACCACAGGCATCAGCTCCACTAGTTGCAGGCATCGCAGTTGCAGCAGCAGCATTGGGAAGCAGAAGCTTGATTCGAGCATGGCAAGCTTTCAAAGCTCGCCCCGTAATTCCTCGAGCAAGAAAATTCTATCCTGGAGGATTTCAGCATGAAATGACCAGGAGAGAAGCTGCATTAATTCTTGGTGTAAGGTATCTATAAATTAGCTGTGCTTTAGGCCCTCCTACTTCTAAACTACTAATTTTATTTTGCTGGCATAAATGCTGTGATAGATAGCAACCAGGAGAGTTGTAATGAGGATGCTCTTGCTTTTCTTGCTATTGTAAATTTTGATGATCTCATTTTCATTTCCTTTGGCTAGCAATGCTCAACTTGGTCTCAAATTGTAGAACCTACTGATCATAGAGAATCACTTTCTACAAAGATGAGCCTTATCATAAGATTCATATAGGCGAGCACGGTTAGGAACCCCTCATCCCGGGATTGAATCCCCTCTACTACGGCCTTGCCTCTTCAGTGGGGCAAAGCAAGTGTGGGCTCGATGCCGGTGGGTGGCTTCGCTAGGTTCCGCTGAGGGATTAGTTACGCCGCACAATGTTCTCATTGGAGTGACAACAGATAGATACCCCCGTTCCATAAAGTTTGATGGCATTTTGGTCCTTCAATTTTTGACATCAAGCCATGCCACCTTTGAGATTGTGTTGGCTAACAATGCCCCTAATGAATAGATCATAAGTTTGCACCTCTAAGATTATATCATTGAAAGATATCTTAATTGTCTTCTTAATGCTAATGGTTTTTGCAGGGAACATGCTGCAATCCAAAAGATAAGGGAAGCTCATAGGAAGGTGATGGTTGCCAATCACCCAGATGCTGGTGGAAGCCATTACCTTGCTTCAAAGATCAACCAGGCAAAGGATCTTTTGACCGGGAAAACAAAGGCCTCCCCCTCTGCATTTTGAAGGTGACAACACTGTGATAGAAGAGAGAGAGAGAGAGAGAGAGAGAGAGAGAGAGAGAGAGGATCTTTGATCTGTATCATTCATGTTAATTATAATTTGTTGGTGTTATCAAAATGGGAAATATGAAGAAATAATTTATGAAATATTGAAATATATGATTGATATCTGAATCATCTGAAGAAATATGTGAATTTAGAAATGAGAAGCAATATTAAAAATTTCACATTATTATAACTATGATACCTGTCTATATATCTTAGGCTTTGTGTGGATTGTAAGGAAAATGAAGGAGATGAAATGAAATATTAATACTTTGTAGTTTTATTATTTTCATTATTTAAGGGATTGTAACAGGAGCATGATGAATGAACTATTTTCTTTTAAGTTGGAATTTTCTTATCTACTAATTTTTATAGGTGTTTTATTAATCATTTAATAAAATTATTACATTTAATCAGGCATGAATTTAATATATATTTAAATTAATTTTTTTAAAAAAATTAAATTTAGTGCCATTCAAATTTTGATTCTTTTAAATTTTTAATCCAACTAAATACTTTGATGAGAAGCATCTATCAACATTGATTGCAATTTGATAGTAATTTAATTTAGCTTCAAATAAGCTTAGTTTAAGTAATTAAAGAGTAAGCGAAAATTTTGTGATATAAATTAAAGATTGAAATTATATCTAGATTTGATATATTTACAGTTAAATCAAGCATTTTGACAATGTAAATCTAACAAACCTAAGATTTTTTTAATTTTAATATTATTATGTCACTTAAATGCTTAACATATGCTTAATGATAAAAATAATTAATATGGGTTGGTCAATGAAGTGTTTCAAACTTTCTCAATATTTATTGTGTATATCATTCTTCAAAATTTATAAATGGGCTTCCAATCTTTACATATACAGGATCATTGGATTGATATTTAATAAAGCTTGGAGGCTTAAAGAATTGCGAAGCTCCACTCAAGCACGAATAATTTTGAATAGTTGCATGTTCATCTTTATTAAACTTTAACATTCGATTGCAACCATTGGACCATCACTGCCCAATTTTCACCTTCAAAGCATATTTCAAAGACAATGGTTGAACTACCGCCATGGGACCTTCATTACCTGACTATTGAAGTCAGATTGCTTAAGAAAATTCAAAGACAAAGCGTTGTAGTTTATTAAAGACTACTTTAGAGGTTCTCTTCCAAAGCTCGTCAAATCTCAAGAATAGTTCATGAGATGTTAAAATGATAGGTAGATTGAGACATGAATGGTGAGTATGTGGAAGATATGTGAAGACTGAGGATGCTTGATTGATGACTAAGGTTTTTGATTGAAAATTTATTGCTAAGATAAAAAAGGAGTCGTTGCAGGTAATGACACTATCATCAACATAGATTAAGAGGTATATTTAAATGTTATTCTAATAGAAGATGAGAAGATAGGGGAAAATGTAGTGAACCTTTGCTAGGGGTATTGTTTGAGACCATAATTGAATTTTTTTAATAAGGTAGACATAATGAGGAAATTGAAGATCATGAAATCCGCAAGGTTGTTCCATATATAAGGGCTCAATAAAGAGCCTTGTAGGAAGGCATTTGTCATGTCTAATTGATGAATTTGCCAATTTAGGTTGAGAGCTACGGTAAGAATGGTGCATATGGTGTTGATTTGAGGGGGGAGGAACAAGTTTCCAGGTGCGTTGTTATTGCAAAGCAAGGAAATATTGTAGGAAAATGTAAAATACACTAAGCCTAAAATCTTGAAAACAAAAGGATTTGAAATAAAATTTAAGAATAGATTCAATTTGACAAAATTTGATCAATCATTGACCCTTTATTTATATGTTGAGCATGCTTGTTGAACATGAGTTCTCATGATGAGCTCTTTTCTCAAATATGGTTCAAGCTTTGTAAATAACCCAAATGAATATGGGTGTACAATAGTGGAAGAGAAGAAACAAGATGAAGAGAAGATAGAAGCTTTTAGTGTGGGAAAGGGAGGACATGAAATGGTAAAATGTTTGAAAGGAAAAATATTGTTTTTGGAGTGAAATGGTGAAGATCCAACTGTAGGCTCACTTTCAACAAGATTTTGGTGGGACTCTCTGTCAACATGGAAGAAAAAAAAATATTAACAATGGCATTTTAAGTAAAAGTACATAGGAGCTATTGATATATTCATAAATCACATAGGGGAAGTGCTCATTCTAGTAAACCAATGGGATAAAGTGTAAACACCAAAATTCACCAGTAATCCTTGCAAGAACAAAACCCTTCTTTAAAATGATGAAACCTGTTCCTATCTCTCACAATTATCTCCCTTTGATACACCTTTGAGACCAACTTAGTATAATTATGACAGTCCTTACACACTCTAAGATTCTTCACAATTCGAATTGTTATCCCCTCTCCAATATTCAAAATTGCGAAAGCAATAGCAATCTTCTCACTGTGATAAGAAATTGCTACACCCTTCTCCTCCTCACCATCCATGTCTATCAACATCAGAGATGTGTCCTTCACATATCCAACCATCTCCAATCTCCTCTCCATCTCCCCAATCATTTCATGAATCCTTTTGCTCTGTTGATGGCTCCAATCCCCAGCAACAAACTCCTCAACTATCCCATTCCACTCAATCAGACTGCACCCTGCCTCTTTTTTCATTCCTTTCTCTTCCATCTCCCTTCTTACCGCCATGGCCTCCTTCCATCGACCGGCGTTGGCGTATAAGTTAGCGAGCATCACATATCGACCAGCATCATGTGGTTCAAGCTCTATCAAATGCTTCCCAACACGAACACCTATATCAAATTCATTGTGCATTCTACAAGCAGACATCAAAGCACCCCACTGTTCAGCCTGAGGCTCCATTGGCATACTAAGTAGTACTTCTTCGGCTTTACAAATCCTCCCAGCTCTTCCCATGAGATCAGCCAAGCAGCCATAGTGCTCCTTCTGAGGTTCCACACCATGAGTCTTCATAGATTCAAAAATATCGATTCCTTCATCAACCATACCAGCATGTGTACAAGCACACATAACTCCAATGTAAGTTGACTCACTAGGCACCATACCTGCCTCCATCATTCTACCAAACAGCTCAAGAGCTTGGTGTCCATGGCCATGCATTGCAAGCCCTCCAATCATTGCATTCCAAAGCACAATATCTTTATTCGAAACCTGATTGAATACATCAAAAGCTGCATCAATGCACCCACATCTACAATACATATCGACAAGAGCTGTACAAAGGATGATGTTGTTACCATTACCGCCGAGTTTATTCCGCTCAACGTAGAGATGTATCCACCAACCTTGACGAATTGCACCTGAGTGGCCACAAGCCTTCAATATGGTCACCAGTGTGATGACATCGGGCCTTATTCCTTCGCATTGCAACCTATTAAACAGTCTCAATGCTTCCACACAATCTCCACTCCTCACATACCCATCTATCATAGCACTCCAAGAAACCAAGTTTCTTTCAGGCATTTCATCGAAGAGGTAACGAGCAGTCTTCACATCCCCACTCTTCCCATACCCAGATACGACAACATTCCAAGATATCAAATCCAAATCACTGCTCTCGTCAAATAGCAACCTAGCATCATTCAACATTCTCATATCACAGTACATGCTCAAGAAAGAATTTTTAACAACAAGAAAATCCATGGCTCCATTCTTCACCACCTGCCCATGAACCTTCATCCCCTGCTTTACTGAATCAGCATCTCTGTACTTCCTACAAGCCTTCACCAAAAGGGCAAAGGTGTAAAGATTAGGCAGCGAGCCACTGGAGCGCATACTGAAATAGAGTGTGATAGCGGAGTCCGGTGAGCCGAGTTCAATGTGGGCGGCGATGACGTTGTTCCAGGTGAAGACGTCGGGGTGGCGAAGAGAGTTGAAGATTGCAGAAGCGTAGTGAAGGTCAGCAGTGCTGGAGCGAAGGAGAAATTGAATGAAACGGCTAGCGGCGAAGGTGTCATGGATGAGGCCAGAGGTTATGAAATTGCAGTGGAGGATTCGGAGGTCATGGAGGTGTTGGAATTCATGAAGCAGTAAGCCGGGGCTTTGTAGGATGAACTGTGACTTAGAGAGAGGGTAGGAGGAGGAGGAAGAGAAGAGGATGGAAAATGTGAGGTTGAATCTGTGGAAGGAGATGCGTTTTGGGGATAACAGAGGTATTTGCATTGTAAGAATTGGAATTGGTGATTTTTAGGTTTAAGGACCGTTCGGTTTGCAACGGTTTTTTAAATAGAGATTGGAAAAAAAAAAAAAAAAAAAAAACAACGGTCATGGGATGTTAATTTTGAATTAAAAATTTATGTATTAAAATACTGTTTTAAAAAATATTAAGAAAGTTATCTTAAATGAATCCTTAGTATATATAATAATGCAATGGTGACATGGAATTTGAATGTATCAATATAATGACTGTTAAATATATAAATAAAAAAGATTCGTCTGGGAGGACTTTCTTACAGCTTTTTAAAGCAGCTTTTTAGTATAAAATTTTTAATTTTTTAGCTAGAAAGCTACTTTAAGAAGCAGTAAGAAAGTCTTCCCAAACGAAATCTTAGTTGCAGTTTGAAACCCAATAGCTATAGTTTAAACCATTGTTAAATTTATTGTAGTGATTTCCAATCTGCTCTAAAATAGCGTTAAAAATGATCCATTTTAAATAGAGTAGTGATTAATGGTTCAATTGGGACAACTTTGTTACTGCTTTATAAAACAATTTTTTAGTATAAAAAATTCAAGTTCAAAAAATTTTGTACTACAAAGCTGTAACTTATTTAAAAGTTGTTGTAGAAAATAACTTCCTAGCATAAAAATGTATTAAAATAATAAAAAACATAATGACCAAAGAAAAACTTCAATTGCGGTATGAAAAGCAAAATAATAAAAAAGCTATCCCAAACAATAGCATTAGGGTCCATTTGGGACGGTTGTGAATTTTTATAAATATGATTGTGAAGCTGCTATGAAGAAATTAGTTTTTTCTTAACTGCTGTAGAATACAATGCCCAAATAAAAATTGTGATTACAATTTGAAAAACAAAACAGTAAGAAAATTGAGTAAAACAAAGCCTCAGAGTGACAACTTCATTGATTCCATTTGGATACATAAAATCAATTGGATTACATTGCAAAGATAAGCATATTGATAAAGATTGCAATCAACAATTCTTGTATTGAGGTCAAGGATATATCACAAAGGGTGCTTTTGAGAGCATTTCAGATCTTCAATTATCTCATTTAAGCATTGCTTGGGATGGCTTTAAGAAGCAGTAAGAAAGTCATTCCAAACAAAGCCTTAATCAAAGAGATTTTAGTAGAGATAGTCATCCATAGTGTAATATTTTGGAAAAGCAAATAAGAGGTGCAATTAAAAACTAAAAACAAGATAGGAAAAAAAAAATAAAAACCAAGTTGTTAAATGAAGGGAAGGAAGACTGTTCATCAACTTCTTTATGTACATATTCAATTAATCAAACACAAAAAATTTCTATGACATATTTCAAACATGTGAAGGAGCAGAAAGAAGATTATAGGGAGAGCTATAACACATCAAACAAAGCAGTTTTTGCATTCCAGAATAGAACGTAGAGAACCAGACTTACCAATGGAAGGTGCAAGGAAACCATGTCAATCTTCCTGATTCTGTCCAGCCGGTTCATTTTCTGGTTGGGTGAAATCCTGTGCATGGTCCTGGTCTCGCATGTCTCTGAACATAGAGAAGAAGGATACGATGCCGTCGGAAGCACCGCCGCCCAAAATCCAGAGCAAGAAGGAGCCAAAGGGATTAAGGAAGCTAGAACCAGGAGCAGCTCCAGTTTGCTGGGCATTCAAGGCTGGGTATCGGAGCTGGTTGCTTGTTGAATTAGGAACATTAACAGGAGCTGGTTGATCTGGAGCAGTTGCAGTACTGTTCTCATTTGAAACTTGTCCGGGAGTTTGGATCCCATTTAAGCTTCCAATGCTTGCATTCCTGACATTGACCCTTGCGATGTGTAAGGTAGATGTGTAGATGGTGGATGAAGTAATTTGCACGCCTGCTTGGTGCTGCAACTGGCCTCGGGCTCTCATGAATCTCTGCAGGGCTGGTACCTGGAACAAAAAAGTTTAAACGAATCTGTCATCATGATCCAAGGTTTTTAAATTTCAGTTTTAGAATTTCAGAAATGGAGTTCTCCAGGGCTTTTTTTCAATTCAAACAGGTTAGTAGTTGATTATGTATCTCCAACTATTGATTAAAGATTTTCATCTTTTTATTATTATTTTTTTAATTTCCTTACACTCAAATTCCTAGCATCCAAACACTACCTTGGTTGTTTCAAAAGAAAAAAACTAAAATATTATGAATAGAAATAAAAAATAACCCTACATTTTTTAAATATTTTGTATTTTTCAAAACAAGTTAAATGATCTTTTTGGTAATTATTACATCTTATGTAGCTATCAATGTTTCAAATTAAGAACAAAGAGCTTAGAAATCAATAGCATCTAATTTTTGCTTTGCTCAAAATTTATGTATTAAGAACCAATCAACATGATGTAGCTTATAGATATAACACCCAAAAATTTGATCGATGAAATAAGAATCTTGATGCCAGTTCCAGATTAACACCAGAATATTCAAGCCAAAAACTTTAGAAATTAATCTTTCAATCATCCAAAAAACATTTTCAACAAACTTGTTGAAAAATATCATCTCGATAAGATAAATATACCAATCCTCATAATGCCTAAACAGGGCTAAATCAAACACTTAAAAGTATAATTAAAAGACCATGAGATAATTTGTAGGGCCAAACGACCATGGATATTTGTGTGCTTATAGTCAAAATAAGCATTTCAACAAGAAGAATCCATCAGACCCAAGATCGTTCAATTTAGAGATCAATAAGGCACTATGATATTCAAAAAATATCAAAGAATCAAGAGGATGGACCTTCAAAAATGGTGTCTAGTATTATGATAGAGAAATGACATAACGCTTGCTCTGTAAGCCTATAGATAGGTTTTCTTATACGCTTTGACGAAGGAATCCAGAGGAGAGGGAAATCAAAGAGTTCCAATTCTCCCATTGTTGACACCTACCACAAACCTCCACTGTCGATTGTCATGAAACAACGCTGTTGTGTTATTGACATTGCCAACGATTGCAACTAGCATCGATCATGGATCGTTGCTGACACACTCGATCGAATGTCATCTAACAAGAAAAAAATTCATCATTTGTCTCGAATTGATGTCAATGTTCATTGCCTTTTTCTTGTAACCCCATCCCCTCTAACAACAAAGATGGCAATTTATTGTAACTTTCAACCTACATAATATAATCCCTTTGCCCATATAGTTTTTCTTTTCCAAGGTTCACTTAAAAAATTGTGCCACCTACGAGTTGCAGTTAACTTATCTGTGTGCGCTATTTTTTGTGTGACACTGAAATGATACTCCTCTATCATCGCTAACATTTTAGCACACAATAATTCGGAATTATCTATGAGAAACAACCTGACCATTGCGGGTTCTCTGAATACTAATTAAATTGTCAATAAGTATAACACCCGCAACAATGGAGCCTCATAGTCAAACTCTCATCGCTCCAAAAACTACACCTCAAATCAAAGACGGTGGGCCTCTACGGGTTAATATATTTAATAAAAATATATTAAATAATCAAGATGAAAAAGTTTCAACCCAAAAATTTTTGGTTGGCACGTAAATGTAAAGATCACACCCAAAAAAAAGCCCATAAGACAGGAAAGTAAAACTAGGAAAGATCATATAAATTGGTCAAAAACTGATGGAAACATCAGAGTGTGGAAAGTCTATCAGAGGCGTGGCCACCGATCTACGGCCACGATCGAGTCGATGTATTTTTTAGTCATTTAATGTATTTTTCTTTTACGATGTTATTTGTCTCTTATTATTTATGTTGTATTTATTTTCCCGTTTTATCCCTTACTTAAGGGAGGTCGTATGTAAGCCCTAAGGGCATTGTCGTCTTTTTTATTTGAGTCCTTTTCTACGAGGCTATTTATAGCCCTTATGTTTCTCTTCTAAGGTGGAATGATTGAATGATAAAAAAAAATTTCCTCATGTTTGAGTTTTTATGAGAGCTTGAGAGAGATTGGAGCGAGGTACCTTGGAGAGGGAATTTGGATCACCCACCAACCTTGGAGACGGACGGGTTCGTGGTTCATCTTCTTTATCGAATTTTCCTTCTCTTCTGCATCTAGCCGCCGGCATAAGGTTTCACCGAATCCCTAGGCCGCCAGCCACCTAATCTTCCCACCTACCCGCAGACTTCACCCCCACCACCACCCCTCCACCGCAATCCCCATAAGCCACCAATCTAGCCGCCGGCCCCTCCCAACTTACCCATCTTCCCTCCACAATCCCACTCCCTCTTGAATACTTTCCATAAGCATCCACTTTTAATTTAGGAAGGTTTAATTTCAAAATTCAAAATTATTTGAATTTGAAATTCTTTCCTTATTTAGGAAATTTATTTTATGAAAGTTTCTAAATTAAATCCTATTTGAATTTCAAATTAATTGGGGTTTAATTAAGACATTCCTAATCTCTAAATCACAAATTAGCAACCCAAATCACTCCCCACAATCATCTCGCTAGCCCACTAAGCCGCCGGCCCCTACCCTCATTAATTACCTTGGATTTATTTCCTAAAACCCATCTCTCCTTTTGGGAATTAATTCAAACCCTCAAGCCCCTCTTGGCTGAAATTTCCACAGCCCCCACACCTCCTAATTACTTTCCAAAATCTAATATTAAGTTTGGAAACAAATCTCTAACCCCTCTCTCTTGCCGCCAGCCCCTCCCTCTCCTCCCCTTTTGGAATTGTTTTCAAATTTCAAAATCTCTCCAAGATAAAAATCTGAAATTAATTTCAGGCTTTAAGTTCACCTCCCTCACAAAGCCTAAAACTAATTCCCCTGCATGTGGTTCCTCTTCCCTTGGCCGAACCATCCACTCCTCTTCTCTACTTCAATTTTGAGAAAAACTTCTTTCTCTCTACGGGAGCTTCAACGGATTGGCATTGATCTTCAGCTACACATCATCCTTCAACTCTCTTCGGGGTGGCGAAGAGAGTTGAAGATTGCAGAAGCGTAGTGAAGGTCAGCACTGCTGGAGCGAAGGAGAAATTGAATGAAACGGCTAGCGGCGAAGGTGTCATGGATGAGGCCAGAGGTTATGAAATTGCAGTGGAGGATTCGGAGGTCATGGAGGTGTTGGAATTCATGAAGCAGTAAGCCGGGGTTTTGTAGGATGAACTGTGACTTAGAGAATGGGTAGGAGGAGGAGGAGGAAGAGAAGAGGATGGAAAATGTGAGGCTGAATCTGTGGAAGGAGATGCGTTTTGGGTATAACAGAGGTGTTTGCATTGTAAGAATTGGAATTGGTGGGTTTTGGGTTACGTAAGGGCCGTTCTGTTTGCAACGGTCTTTTAAATAGGAACTTTTTTTTGGTCCGGTGCAAGGACCTAGAGGAAGGTTCGGTTTTGCCTAAAAAAGTGCAAAATACCGAGTTTTTTGAAAAAATACCGAGTTTTTTGAAAACATACCGAGTTTTTCAAAAAACTCGGTATTTGCACTTTTTGACCCAATTTTGCCTAAAACCGAACCTTCCTCTACATCAAGTGAAAGGACCTAATAAGATTAAACAACGGTCATGGGATGTTAATTTTGAATTAAAAATTTATGTATTAAAATATGTTTTAAAAAATATTAAGAAAGTTATCTTAAATGAATATGCATCCATTAATAAAATTAAACATCCAATACAAATGAATAATAAGATATTTCTAATTAATAAAAAATAAAATTTCAAGTTCTAAACAAATAATTCAATAGAAAGTTCTAATGCCTAAAACAAGAATTATAATGAAATTACGATTCTAATTTTTTTTTTAAATAGATTCTCATATTCATTATGTGATATATTCATGGGATGAAGTCACAAGTTATTGCTCTTATCATAGCTTTTTATTCCTATGAAGCCATTTTAATCCTATAGCATGGTGAGATGACTTCCTTATGAAAGGATAATTTTGTTGAGAGATTCTTCAATATCTTAGCCTTAATCTCAACAAAATCTTATTTAAAACAAAAAAAAATGCAATTTTTTTTTAAAAAAAATCATCTCATTCATGTTAAAAAGTTATATGTTGTTGTTTTTTTTAAGGGTTTGGAGCTTAAAATTGTTTTTTTTTTATATAAATATTTTCTTTTTTAGGTATGGTCAATTGTTATTCTTACTTTTTTAGATAGATTTATTTGATATTTGAAACAAAGCCCTACATGGGGTCCTGGTTGGGTACCCATGCTTTACTCGGACGTGCTTCGCCCACCTATGGTGATTTTCAGGATACCATACCCACCCAATTTCTATGCTTTTTTAATGCAGTCTGTCATGGATTGGTGTCCTTGAGGCTTGTTGCCCTTTGCTCTGATTGTAAACTTTCAATACGCCTATTAGAATTTATCATAATCGCAGCGTGGTTAAGTGCTGCACATTACGTAGTGAGGATTGCAGTAATATAAGATATATGATGATTAGCAATGTAAATCGATTAATCCTCCAATGTTGAGTACCCACCCACATGGCCATGGGTATACCCATACCCACCCATACCCATTGGGTATATGTGGGTACATGAGTGGGAGTGGGTATGGGTACCAAATGCAGGGCTCTGATTTGAAATATAAAATGTGATTTTTTTTTTTTTAATTCTTACTATTTTTTTTCTCATATAGTTATTTTAATGGGAAATCATTAGAAATTCCTAACTAGAAATTATGCATTGTTCAAATCCAATGAAATTCACTAAGATAATAAATCTTTTGGAGTAAAATATCTATATTACTCATAGCTTTATAACCATCTCTCAAATTCTTTTTTTTTTCCCTTTTTACTAAAAAGTATGATATAAGTAAATAAAACATTAACCAAGAAAAATATAAGAATCAAATCTAGATTTTATAGTCATTAAAACCATTGCAACGATATAGAAACAATTTTAACTCTGCAATTAGAAGTTATATACTTATTGATATTTGCTGAGGGTAAAACTGCTACAAAAAATAGTTTTAACC